CGCTGACGGGGCCTTCATCGAGGGTGGGACGAAGGTCGCCTGTGCAGCCAGCGCGGTGGTGGCCCTACCTGGCGGAGGATAGGCCATTGACCCTGGACCGCGCTCGGCGACTTCGGGCGCTCGCCTCCCTTATGGCGGGCGCCCTGCAGTCCATCGTTGTTGGCGTATCTCCTCGTGCACAAGCGTGCAATCCCGCCGGTGGTCGCTCATGCTGGCGCCAACTACGTGTCGAATGTGATCAGCGAGAGGGCGCCCAAGGAGACCTCCAGCAGCAAGTCAGCCCGAGCTGAGCTGTGGGCCAGGTTCTGGCACGCGGTGCAGGGCTTCGGCGGCCTTGGCGAGCAGGGACTGCGGGTCGTCAAGGTCAAGGCTCACGCGACGATGCAACATGTCATGGACGGCCTGGCCACCGCCAGGGCAAGGCGTGGCAGCGCGGAAGCGGATCGTTGCGCCAAGTTCATGGCCGCGCACGCTGGCGCCCCCGACGCTGTGCGGCAGCTCATCAAGGTTCGCCAGACCGTGCTGGACGCCGCCTCCTTCTGGGTCTCTCTGGCTGTGTCCGTGGCAGCGGGCAGCAGGGCCGACGTCTCCGATGAAGCCATGCCGCCGAAGGCGCGCAGGACTCAGCCACGCTTGGCGGTCCACGAGGTGGTCGAAGTGACGAGCGGAGGGATCCATCGCCACAGGTGCTTGAGGACGGCGCGCAGCAGCAGCGTCGAGGCCCGCTTCTGGGCCAAGCAGTGCGCCCCGAAGCCTTGCGCCCTGCCCTTGTCGGGTGGGCCTTCGAAGCGGCCAGCTCGGGAGGCGTTGGCCGTGGCGGTCTCTGCCGCGGCGGCGCGCGCGGCCCTGACCGAGTCGGTCGAGCGCGCGTCCCAGGACGCAGAGAGCAACGTAAAGGAGAAGCCCGAGGACCTGGGGGCCGCGCGGCAGAAGGTAGATGTCCTGCTTGCGGCCGCGTCTGGAGACAGCGCGAGCAGCGCTGTTGGCTCGCGCGCTGTGCTTGGAGATGTGGCGTCTGTTGGTGAGGCCTCGGAGGGGCCCGCTGCGACGGCCCGTGTGGCGCCCCTGCGCGGGGCCTCAGTGGGCCCCGCTGCGAAAGCCCGCGGAGGCGCCGCCGCGTTTGATGCTGCCATTGCTCGCTGTGGGGCCCCCTTGCCCCTCCTCCCCGGAGCCCCCCCATCGCCTCTGGGTCCTCTGCGGGGCCCGCTGCGAGAGCACCAGGGACAGCCTCGCCTGTGCTGCCGCGTAGCCAGGAATGTAATTCGCAGGCGTCTGTGATTTTGCAGTCTCCTGATACCCCGGCCAGTTTTTAGTGTGATGCGGGTTCTGGCCGTCGCTCGAGGTCGCCCGAAGGCTTGGGAGCGGTCGACCTGATGGACTTGGCCACCGCAGGGGCTCACCCTGGAGGGGACACAGGAGCCCCTGAGGTGGCCAGTGACGAGCATCAGCTGATCACGATCAGCGGGTACAGCGTTTGTTCCACGTGTCATTGCGACGCGAGGGTGGTCGGCGGCAAGCAGAGGGGTCCACCACCCGCGGGCTGCAGCGCCGCCTTGAGAAGGTCGAGAGGATTCGTCTCGGCTTCCCGCCCAAGGCTAATCGGCCGAGGGCTTTAGGGCGCTGAACTTTGGGGCTGACAGGGCGGCGGCGGGTTGGCCCTTTTGCCTCGCCCGTTCCTTCGCCGCTTTGCTTCCCCCCCCTTCTCAGGCTTGCGCCTGCCGCCAGCGCCCGAGGTGGCCGACTGGGCTGTCTGCGCCTGAGCTAGCGCCACGCGAGCTTGGAAACATAGCTAAAAAAGGTCCCAATCCTACAGCCCGCATGCGCCCCCCCTACCCAACGGCGTTTCGTGGCCCCGTAGGGAGCTCCACCGCCCGCCCGCATGCGTCCGCCCCACCCAGCACAACGTGCCGTGGCCCCATAAGGAACTCCACCGAAGGCCCCTGTGCTACTGCCCGCATGCGCCCCCCCCACTCAGTACAGCGTTTCGTGGCCCCGTAGGGAGCTTCACCGAAGGTCCCAACGCCACCGCCCGCATGCGTCCCCATAAAGGGGGCTCCACCGACGGCTTCAGTTTTACCGCCCGCATGCGTCCCCCCACCCAGTACAGCGTTTCGTGACCTCCGTGGCCCCATACGGGGCTCCACCGAAGGTCCCCGCGCCACCGCCCGCATGCGTCCTCCCCTCACCCAGTACAGCGTTTCGTTTCCCCATACGGATTTCCACCGAAGGTCCCAGTGCTACCGCCCGCATGCGCCTCCACCCACCCAGTACACCGTTTCGTGGCCCAGTTAGGAGCTCCACCGAAGGTCCCCGTGCTATTGCCCGCATGCGTCCCCTCCACCCAGTACAGCGCTTCGTGGCCTCACAGGGAGCTCCACCGAAGGCCCAAGCGCTACCGCCCACATGCGTTCCCCCCAGCGCTTCGTGGTCCCAGAGGGAGCTCCACCGAAGAAGATATTCACAATTGCGGCATCACGACTGCATATGGTTGGGTCTTTCGTCCTGCCAATTTTCGTGCAGCGTCCGCCTGTAGGGGGACATGCCCGACCTAATGCTAAGGGCTCAGGGCCAGCGTTGTCCTTTCGTTGGCGGGCCTGTGGCACTCGACCAGAGGGGCGTCTTGAAGGGGGCGTCGGATTTTCCGCACATGCGTGCGCCGAGGAAGTCTCCATGTGTCTGCCGCTGGCGCGCGGGGCATGCGTTTTCACACGTGTGGGCCCCCAGGGTGGGCCTCCGAGCCCGTCTGCTTCGACCCTGCGTGTTGAGGCATGGCTCGGAGGTTGACAGACCTCCTGTCCCGACGCGTCGATGAGCGAATGGGCCGTTCTCGATTCGCGGGAGGGCGTCGCGGCTGTCATTTTGCGGGTCCAGGCCCGTCGGTTTCGGCCCCAGGCTGTTTTCATTCAGGGGAGGTTTGCTAAAGGGAGATTTGTCCACCGCCGAATGGTGCGAGGTGCCGCCTCGGCCCGCCTGTGCCCCGCCCCGCCGAGTGCGTCGGCATCCTCCACGTGCACACCGTGTTTTGCTCATCGTCCTCTTCTCCCCGTCGCGGCATCAGCGAGGAGGTTGCCGAGGAGGACGAGTGTACGGTCGGGAACTTTGGCCCTCAGCGATTCGGTTCACCGCGATTCGGCACGACAATCGAACCACGCCGGGGTCCCCGGGTGTCAATGCCCCTAGCCTTTCCAAGCCTCCTACTCCCGCGGAGCGGGGCGACACGGTATCCGCTCGCAGGGCATAGCGTGTTGCCAGGCCGTTGCCGGGGCCGCCGCCGCGACATTCCAAGTAAAAACATGAGGTGGAACCTATCATTCAAAGCGTTTCGGGCCCCGCTGTCTGGGGCGCTCGTCTTTCGGCCTGCCTGCCTGTTGCATTTCTTCCTGCCGATTGCACCGTCGTTATCGTCGCCCATTTTTGGGTGGGACCGAAGTAACGATACCGCTGCTCCCTGGACTTATCCCGGGGTGCGTTCTGACCAGAATCTCGAGGCGACTCCAGCCGTGGCGACGAGGGCCATCTAGGATGCCCAAAAAGGCGAACACGAGGCAAGGGTAGCGGTATTGGTACCTTTTTCCTCCGCTGACTTCCCCTCCCCTTCCCTTGGCCGCTGTAACTCAAGGCACCAGGCAAGCGGTAGGGCACGCAGCCCTCCCCCCGTACAGAGGGGTGGCCGGCGGGCACTGGTGATGATCATCAACAGTGGACCTGGACGTCCCGGGTCGCCGTATGGGTCGGCGCAGGGATGTTCGCAAATTATGCGGGCCCCAAGAAAATACACCGCCACCACCATGTCGATTCTTGCTCCCTCCTCCACCCTCATCTTCCACTCCTCTTTCCTGGGAGAGGGACGGGATGAGGGAGGCGGTGGTGGTGTATACTTTTGGGCCCCGCAAATTAGGGGAACAAGCAATGGCATAAACGTAGAAAGTCAGAGGTCCTCGCGGATTTCTCGGATCGGCGCTGGGGCCCCTGGCGGCGCAGGCGCCGCCCCTGGTGCGCTCCGCGCGCCAGGGGGGGGCCCAGCGCCGATCCGAGAAATCTGCGCGGACCTCCGAGTTTGTACGTTTATGCCATTGTTTGTTTCCCTACCAATGTCCAGCTGGCAGTTGGCTTTGAGCATTGAGAACAAAAGAACCCCTAACCCTGAGAACACAATGAAGACATAGCCTCACTTATGTCCCCCTCTTTGTATTGGGGATAATCAAGCTGGGTGGTTTGGTGTGACACGTCTGCAGAAAAAATCAAGGATACTTGTATTGTGAAGCATTTGAGAGCCTCGGGGTAGGGGGACGTCGGGACAGGGGCAGGGATATTGGCCCAAACTGTTTTTCGTCGCCTGTTGGAGCTTGGTGATGCGAATCTGTCCAGGAGCCGCACGGTCTGCAATCAGGTACGTCTCGGGGTGTGCCGGCGAGGCATCGTCGATATGGCAGAGCACTGCAGCATCTCGTGAGCTGGTCCCCCCCGAGGGCTTTCTGCACTGGGGGGTGGGGGGATGCCGGGGAGCCTCCCGGGGGAGAGGGCTCCAGGCACGGGCTCCACACGTGCGCAAGAAACAAGGAGCGGCGAGCCGGATGCACCTCCTCCTCCTCCTCCTCCTCCTCCTCCTTCTCCTCCTCCTCCTCCTCCTCTCCCCCTCCTCCAGGGCTGCTCACGGTACGATCTGATCCAATCCGATTCCCAAGTTTCGACTCGGATCTTGATCCGATCCGACACAAGCCGCTTCCCTCTCGAGCCCGCAGTGGCCGAGCCCGATCCCTGCTCCCAAGCGATCGGGTCTCGATCCGAATCCGTGCCGATTCGCACCCTATCCAATCCGTTTCCGATCTGGTCTGGTCTCGCGATTCGGGCCAGCTCAGGCCTGACGAGGGGCTGCGAGGCGGAGGGAGGCTGGCGAGGATGGGGGGAAGCCGAGCTTCGGAGCGGGCGCGGACCTCGCGCGACTCCCAAGGCTGGCGCAGGGAGGAGCCGTCGCAGTTGGCGGCCGAGGGCCTGGGGTGATGATGAACGCGCAGTACTGCGGTCAGCAGGGTGCGTGCTACGAGCGAACTACCGAGGGCATGGTAATCGTGCAGGACCCCATGCCGCATTACAAGGCGTCGAGGAATCGCAAGTTTGATGAGCACCTCGGGCGACGAAGTCTATGCACGTCCTCTGCTCCCTGGCCAGGCCCAGCCTGAACCCAGGAGCTGTGTACACGCCCTCCTGGCCAAGCAAGGAAGGCGAGACGGCGCTGCTGGGTTCAGGATGGGCCCGGCCAGGGACGAGTGGATATGTATAGATTTCGCCGCCCCAGCAAACGCTTTCGGAGGTCTGCTTCGCGCGGATATCTTTCGGCGGCGAGCGAGGGGGGAAGTGAGAAGGAGAAGGCCTTATCAGAAGGCGGCGGGACTTCTCAGAAGCCCTCGCGCCTTCTGAGAGGTATTCTGTGTTTTCGGGGAAGGCGCAGGAAACTTCTCAGAAAGCTGGGGGACTGTCGAGCCGTCTGAGAAGCTCTTCTCCTTCTCACTTCCCCCCCGGGCTCGCCGCCAAATCTTGGGTTGGTGCTGGATCCCATGGCGGCACCCCAGCGCCGCCCTTGGCGCGCTCCGCGCGCCAGGGAGGGGGGGGGTCCAGAGCGCGGATCCAAGACATCTGCGCGAGCCTCGGAACGGGTCTGCCTGTGCTGTGCTTTGTTCCTCTCAAGGTGGTGGGTGTGCAGCAGGTGGCGACTCGGCCTTGGTGGTGCGTTTGGGTATTTGGGCGGCGATAAAATGGGGGGGGGGGGGGGCGATACATGGGGAGGCATCGAGGGCTGCCGAAAAGGGGCCCTCTAGGGCCCCTGAAAGGGCCCTTTTGGGTCCAGAAGGGGCCTTTGGGCCCGTCAAGGGCACCTTTTCCCCCCCCCCTCATGCCCCCCATTAATTCGCGCCCAAGGTATGCTGGTGTTTCCCGCTGACCATGCTCTTGTTGCTGGGCTTGATCTTATTATTCTCCAACCACTCTACTTCGACGACCACGACGACAGAGATCATTACAACAACGACGTTCAATTGTGACGACACCGTTGGCCGGAGTGTTTGGTCATTGCAGCAGCGTGCTTGGTGCTGCAGGCATTTCCAGAAGGGCTGTCCCACGTCAGAGCCAGCGCCCTGGGAGTGCTGCCCCCTCGTGCTCAGTATCCAGACAGACGCGAAGGACTCCGTGCCGGACGACCCGGACTGCGACGTCAGGCAGTGGCCTCCAGAGCGCAGAAGCTGGTGCTGTATGCACAAGGGCACGGGATGCCCCAGGAAGACCTCTCTGCCGTTCGACTGTTACGACGGGTTTATCACCTGGAACGAGTCGTGGTCGGATGAGAAGAGGGCCTGGTGCTGCCAGATGCAGGGCCGAGGCTGCCCAGAGAGGAGCTCGCTGCCCTACGATTGCTACAACGGCTACGACAGCTGGGAGAGCGTCTGGGCGGATGACAAGAAGCAGTGGTGTTGCGAGCACTTCAACTACGGCTGCCCCCCGCGCAGCTCCCTGAAATTTGATTGCTACGATGGCCTGGCGAGTTGGTCAACCAAGTGGGCAGACGCGAAGAAGGCTTTCTGCTGTCACGAGTTTGGCATCGCTTGCGCGATCTCGTCTTCCGCTCCCTACGACTGCGAGTCGGACTACAGCAGTTGGCAGACGTCCTGGGATGCTGGGAAGAAGCATTGGTGCTGCACCCACGAGGAGAGAGGCTGCGTGAAGACGACCACCGCTCCCTTCGACTGCACCGAAGGCCTCCAGCAGACAGAGAAGTGGCCTGCCGTGAAGCAAGAGTGGTGCTGCTTCCACCAGGCCACGACCACTTAGCAACCCAGAACGAGGGCTGGGGTGCCCAAGGGCAGTAAAACGGATCCCTGGCAATGCATTTCCCCACCGACGTACCCAACACATGTATATGCTTATGTGTATGTGTATCATGTATATACATGTATATATGTATACGTGTGCGGATATGTAGATGTATGTGTGTACCTATATGCTTGTGTACACGCATATGTCTACGTACATACATGTTTGCATGCATATACATGGATAGGCACGTGTATACGTATAACTAACTGTATGTGTATACTGCTATGGGTGTGTACATGCTTATGTTTGTGTATGTGTATGTGCATATGTATATGCATATGTATGTGTATATGTATATGCTTATGCTAATGTAAACGTATCTCTATCTATGTATAAACGTGTATGCGTATCTATCGATACGTGTACGTGCGTGCGTATGTGCATGTGTATGTATATGTTCATATGTATGTGCATGGGTACGTGTGTGTGCATATGCAGGTGTATTTGTATATGTCTAGACATGCGTGGGAATGTATGTATATGTATGTGTATACTGATACTCATTTGCATAATTATATGTATATGTATATTCGCATGTGCAGGTGTTTGCATATACACATGAACATGCATACATGCATGTCTATGTATATGCATATGTCTATGTGCATGTGTATGTAAATGTGTATGTGCATG